ATGCGACCGCCACCCTCTGAGTCCTCTGACTTTCTTGTGCCCAAGCCTCGCGCTCTGCCTTCTCGGGGCTCGGACGCCTTTGTTTGCGTTCGCTCGAGGACGGCGGGGATGCGAGCATGGCCAGGTCGTCGCGCGCGCAGCAGCTGGCCAACAGGGATTACCTGGACAAACACAACCTCGTGGAATTCACTCAACAGCTTGTGCAGGCGCGCGGGGGGCATTAGAGGAGCGACGCAGCGGGGATTTTGCCCGCGAGCTGTGGTGAATGCGGCGGTGGATAAGGTGTATGTGCTACAGCGAACCAGGGTGGTGACCATCAAGGAGGAGCAGGATAACGGTAATGAGGCTGATGATGAGGAAGTCGAGTGCGCTTCCGAGCTATGGGTCGCTGTGTGTCTGTGAGCGCTGGCAGAGACAGCAGACTCTGTCGCCCGTCTGCGTCGTCCCTTCATCGATCTACAGTCGAGCGTCCGATTAAGGAACCTCCTCCCGAAAAGCTGGTTCAGCGTTTCTTGGCCCACTTGCCGAACAGTTGGCCCAGTCTCTTGAGCACGTTCGCCCCCTCCACCGTCAACGGCAGAAATCGGCCCAGGCTTGTTTCTGGAAACCTCTGGACAGCTGGCCCAGGTGTCTAACACGATCATCAGATTGACCGCATGTTCGGCTACAGTTGCTCCCTGTTCCTCTCCCGCTCTCTCCCCCTTTTTCCCTCTCTCCACCCCGTCCTCTTCGCTCCCCTCCAGTTTTGCCTGCCGCCGACGCTGCTTCGGCGCCCCTCCGCAACGGCTTGTGGTCGTACGCTCGGAAACGTTTGCTTAGCTCGCCGGAGGAAAAAGGTACTGGTATCGCCACCCTTGTCTCGTTTTCGCCTTTTTGGGCCTCCTGGGAGATCCTCGTCGCCACCGCTGGATCCGCCTCGAAGTCCTGGTCAGAACGCACCCCGGGAGAGGTCCGGGAGTAGCGGTATCCGTATCTTTTGGTTTCCCCATTCGCGTGTCGAGCTGACAATTCTGGTCCACCACGCTTCGGCGCGACACGCTAACAACGTCCCAACTCCCAAGCATTAACACCCTGAGCTTTTCCCAGCGCCAGCCCCGCTGACCAGAGCGACATGGTAAGCAAGCAAAAGTTCCCGACCGTATCGTCGAGTTGAGAGAGTTCGACTGCGGGCGCGAGCCGAACGCCGCTGCCTCTGGGCGCCCACCTCGGACGCATGAGGCCAGAAGCCGCAGACCACATGGCCGGAATTAGCCCTCCCGCTTCGCGTTCTACAAGTTGCTGGTAGTGGACGCAGCGCCCTTCCACGTGGCGTGGCGCTGCTCACCACCTCCAGAACAAACGTGTGCTTCTGCCACGTTTTGATCTGCACTTGACCTTGTTGCACGCGGGTGGGTCCGAGGCGGAAGCGCTAGTCCCGCCGGATGCTGCATGCTGCTCTCATGCGTCGGGCCTCCTTTCTTCATGTTGGGCTTAAGTCGGGCCTGTCCCTCTACAGGAGAAAATCATATATTAGTCAAACAAATTATGGGGACGATGTTTCTATTATTGTTTGGCTATTTTTGGGTATGCTTTGACTATTTCCAATTATCCGTAAGGGCTTCGCCCCCTGCCGCCGGCCCCCTCTCTCGGAGAATGCGCCATGGAAGAGCTAAGTCATGAGGCTTTGGCGCTGTCGTGCAGCAGTATCGGAACTTCATGCGAGGCCGATTCGCAATCGGCAAAACCAACTGATCACAAGAGGGGTTACCACACAGGGCGATTGGTAAAACGTGTATGGTTTACGAGCTCCCCCCGTTACCACACTTGGATTAAAGGGCGAGGGAGTACTCGCAGTTTGGGTTACTACGCCTTGCGATTGATGTGCGTGAGGGGTGGCGCCGAATTTCAGAAATGTGGCAAATCCCTTGTGTTTTTGGACCCTGACCCCGCGGATCTGCGTAAGGGGTGGCACCGAATTTCAGAAATGTGGCAAATCCCTTGTGGTTTTTGGACCCTGACCCCGCGGATCTGCGTGAGGGGTGCAAAGAATTTCAGAATGTGGCAAATCCCCTTGTGTTTTTGGACCCTGACCCCGCGGATCTGCGTGAGGGGTGGCACCGAATTTCAGAAATGTGGCAAATCCTGTGTGTTTGGGCCCTGACCCCGCGGATCTGCGTGAGGGGTGGCACCGAATTTCAGACATGTGGCAAATCCCATGTGTTTTTGGACCCTGGCCCCGCGGATCTGCGTGAGGGGTGGCACCGAATTTCAGAAATGTAACAAATCCCGTGTGTTTTTGGACCCTGACCCCGCGGATCTGCGTGAGGGGTGGCGCCGAATTTCAGAAATGTGGCAAATCCCATGTGTTTTTTGACCCTGACCCCGCGGATCTGCGTGAGGGGTGTCGATTTCGAGCCCCCCCAGCAATTCAGACCACGCGCCCAAAAGACGCTAAAATTCCACAAGGGGGCCGGCGGATCTTCCAAATTCCGCCTGTAGGAGGACATGCCCGACCTAAGGCTGGACTTTCCACGGAGTGACTGCCAGAGGCCGTGATCAAGGAGCAGCCCGACCGGCCGTACGCCTTCATGGCGAGCCAGTTCACCTTCCCCGAGCCGGTCCCCAAGTGCTGAGATTCTCTGCCAGCCCGAGGGGAGTCGACCAAACAACCAGCGACACCACCCCACCTGCGGCCCTCCATGTTGCGCTACGGCCCATCGGGGGCCGTAGCGTATACCACGCAAAAACCCACGCCAGATCTCCTGGTATACGCTGAGCCCCGTGGGGTCGCTAGGTGGGGTGGTGTCGTTTGTTTTTTGGTCCAAGGAGGGCCCCCGCCGACTGATGCCGATGCAGCCCTTGACCGATTCCCCGGTCCGTGCCCGCATTGGCTCCGTGCCGATGCAGCCCCGCTGGCCTCCCTGAGCCGCGCGGCACCTTTTGCCCCTTCCTGCCTGCATCTCCGTGCCGGGCTTTCTCCGGCAGGGCGGGTGCTTCGGGCACGTGCAGGGCGCACTGCCATCCCCCTCAATTTCGCCCCTCGCCCCTCTTCTCTTCCCACGCCTCCTCTCTCCTCCCTCTGCCTGCACGCGCCCCTGTCTCTCCTCTCTCCCTGCATGCCCTCCTCCTCCTCCTCCTCCCCTCCCTCTCTTCCCCCCTCCCCCTCCCCCTCCCCTCCCCCTCCTCCCCCTCCTCCCCCTCCCCCTCCCTCGCCTTTATCCGCTCCTGCTCCGATTCTTCTCCCGCCCCTCCTCCTGCCGATCCTCCTCCTGCCTTTCGTCGGGCGTGTCCCTCTACAGGAGGAGCATTCAAAAAGAGGAAAAATAGTCTGGGGACGATCTGTCGAGTTTTTGTTGGGCCATGTTTGATTTGTTGTGACTAGTTCTTATTTTTCATCCAGAATCCCCCTGTAGGAGAACATGCCCGACCTAATCCTGCCTCCCTTCCCCTCAATCTCCGTCCCTTTTCTGCTGCGC